ACCACCAGGTGGGCCGTATGCTCGTCTGCGTACAAGGGCAATAAAAAAAAATACAATATGAATAATGAACATATATGCTAACAACGCATTTAAGTTATATTTGCATAATATCTTAATACCAATTTTCATTTAAAAACAATAAGTAGATACGCGTCAAGGAAATAGAGTGAAAATGGAATAAGTAAAACTTTGTTGTGTTTTTATCATTAAAGTAAATATTTAAAAACTTTGAGGAACGCCAATTCATTTATCGAAAGGGTCGTTTAAGGACTGAACACTCAAACCCGATAACTCTTCCACGTTTTTTTAACGAGATTGAATACAGTACGCTTCGTTTTCGTAAGTTCGATGGGGGAAAAACAGCAGCATCACTCTACGCCCGAATGAGTTTAAACAAGAGCCTTTTTCTGTTGATGAAGTGGTCGGCAAGTTTATTGGTTGCCTAGATTGCTCGAGACACAGCGATCAATCAAATATTTCGATATCGCACCGTCACGAGTAACTCTCGCCGCAGAATTTTCAGTTGATTCGACGGAAACATGTCTGTTAACAATTTTTGGATCGAAGCTATGAATAATATTTGTTTGCGAACATTATTCGATATCTATATGACGGAGAAGCGACAATTATTAACGCCGTCGTCAGACATCGTAGGGGCGAATAGGGTGATCGAGCTATCAGTATTATTGAGTACACCAATCACGTTTGTTATCTTAGAACTATTTAGAAATCTTCTCTTGACGTTAGCAAAAGAAAATGAAAGTCGTTGTGGCCTAACGGATAAGACGTCCGGTGTATTCGTGTTGAGCGATGCACCGGTGTTCGAATCTCAGGCGGGTACCAATTTTTCTAATGAAATACGTACTCGACAAATGTTCACGATTGATTTCCACGGTGAAGGAATAACATCGTGTAATAAAAATGAAACCCGCAAAATTATAATTTGCGTAATTACTGGTGGTAGGACCTCTTGTGAGTCCGCGCGGGTGGGTACCACCGCTCTGCCTATTTCTGCCGTGAAGCAGTAATGCGTTTCGGTTTGAAGGGTGGGGCAGCCGTTGTAACTATACGTGAGACCTTAGAACTTATATCTCAAGGTGGGTGGCGCATTTACGTTGTGGATGTCTGTGGGCTCCAGTAACCACTTAACAATAGGTTGGCTGTGAGCTCGTCCACCCACCTAAGCACTAAAAAAAAAAAACGAAAGACAGTTTTTAGGACGGAGGCACCGCTCTTCAAGAAGACTGTTTGGTAAGAGTGATGACGTCTACGCGCCTCCATCGGCTAGGCTCTGTCGTAGCACGAAGTTAGCCGAGTTCCGACGATACCGTGATCGTGCTGCCATCTCTCGGGAATCGTGCTGCGTTTCATTTAGCTACCAAACTAATGACCGTCTCCGATATCTTTTTATGTATAAAATTCTCGTGCCACAATGTTAGTTACCATACTCCTCTGAAACGGTTTGAGCGATTTTTATAAGATGACTCACAAGATGCCGCCGATTGCCACCGGTAAAATATTTACTTACAAACTTCGATTAAGCTGAAACAAATTCTTTTTCAAATTATTAATTTCATTCCAGTTGTATATTAAGTGATTAAATTTAAAAAATCACATTTATTAAACACATTGTTAATGTAACTAAAAAGAGACATTTTCATTCTTAATTAACTAATATCTCTTACCTAATTCAGATCCATTATGGAAATACTATTAATAAATAGTTCACCTAATTCCCAATTATTTAATTTTTTTCAACTTTTCCAAAGCCTCCGTTTGCAAATTGTGAATATAAATTAAGCTTAGGGTGTGTGTCAAATCGAAAGTAATATGTATTGTTACACTGGCAAGAGTAACGCCATCTATCGCCGAATAGTCGAACGAATATCGAAGATCTAGCAGCAACTAGAACGCTCGAGAAGTACAACGCCATCTATTGTCGGATAGCGGAAACACAATACTCGAAGTGTGGAATATTCTCGATAATTCTAGGGATGTGGTATCGACTATAAAGGCGTTGCAGAGATGGCACGCAGTCAGTCAGTAATCGGAACTAATCGAAGCGAAACAGCAAAGGAATCACCTGAAGCGAAGCGGAAGAAGCGAATTGAGAATTTTAAGGTGCTTGTGAAGTTTTTTATTTTTTTTTATTGCCTTTGTGGGCAGACGATTGCACGGCCCAACTGATGGTGAGTGGTTACCGTCACCCATGGACTTCAGCAATGCCAGGGGCAGATACAAGCCGCTGCCCACCGCAGTGTTTTAAGTGTTCTAAATGTTGAATACAGTCTTGGGTTGTACTCCGATAGAATTTTTATTTATCCCGAACCCCAGCGCGTAGCAGTATGTTCATTTAAATTTCACTCGATTTAATTCGTACCGTACAGTTTCATAATATAAAATAGGACGGTAAACGATCCGAGTTTCGCATTTCAAACGCTTACTTAGCAAATATCGCGGGTGGTATTCGATTTTAATTAAAGCTCCGAACGCTGCATTGTACTGAGTATGCATATTTCAGATTCTATTAAGAACGGAAACGGAAGCGGCCACGGGCCGGTGATATTGTTAAAATTACGAGCTTTGAAGATTACTAATGTGATACATGCATATATGCGCTCGAAGCTTGTGGTGTCATGCTTTTTCTCATTCAAGAGGTCATTATGTTTGGTACTTGCTAAAGCAGATAATATCTTAATTTTTTCTAGAATAGTCTTTTTTTTAATTTTTCGTAATTCCCCATAGCTGAACTGTGTGGTTAAGTCACAGTCACAGTGGTCAAGCACCTAGACCTACCTTTATCTATCGCAAAGCAGTTATTTTTTCTGTACAATATGAAATATTCCAATTGATGTCTCCATCAATGCCTATAGATTTCTACGTTCTTTCTTTCTGGCAGTGTCTAGAAATTATGACAATTTTTAAGTAGTAGAGTATTAAGCCTTTTAAATCTTATCACATTATTAGTTTTAATTCTTCATCTCTAGTACCTAAAGATAAAGGTACCTTTTACGACGAGCATACAGACCACCTGATGGTGAGTGGTTACCGTCGCCCATGGACTTCAGCAATGCCAGGGGCAGAGCCAAGCCGCTGCCTACCGCTTAATACTCCTTATTATTTGAAAAATTATAAGTATGAATTGCTTAAAGGATAAGAACATTTAAACAAGAAGTTTAATTAAATTAGATATATTTCATATTCGTAACAAATGATTGGTAACTATTATGTTATTTACATTTGTTTTTTTTTTAAAATAAATTATCGTAAAGCTTACAATAATGGCAGAAAATATTGCGTAATATTATAAAATGCATTATAAAGCATATCATAATAACAGTTGCCGTATAAAAATATAAAATTGCTTATCCTTAAACACAATATGTTGTTAGTTATTTGATAAAACTATTGCGATGTTTTCTTGATAGCATTACTTAATTTGATCTGATCTCACATTGCTACGACTGTTTTTTTATGTTTGTATAAAATAATAGTTGATGTACAGTATAACTCTAGTTCGAATTATAATGAAACCCAATGTTTTTGTTTAATAAAGATATTACGTAATCAATAGACTGATAAAGTTTACATAATTTATTGAGAAATATTTATATTATTAAGTGTGAGTTTATAGAGGTCTTATTTCTAATGAGCGTGATATGGGATCTCACTGAAAAGGTGCGTAATGTGTAAAATGATTCTGAATATCTTAACATTGATCATTTGAAATACGACATATTCTTCATGTGACACCGCCCGTCTTTGTCTTGTCTTTATCTCCTTACTTTAATATACATAATATGTAAGTATATAATAACAATAAGAAAGTTAAGTAGGACAATATTAACAACAACTTATTTATTCAGTAGTAATAAGAATGGCCATAAACTCGACATATGTTACCTTCTGATTGATTTTTTTTTAATTTTTTTTTTTAATTGCTATTTGGGTGGACGAGCTCACAGCCCACCTGGTGTTAAGTGATTACTGGAGCCCATAGACATCTACGACGTAAATGCGCCACCCACCCCGAGATACAAGTTCCAAGGTCTCAAGTATATAACATATACAACGGCTGCCTCACCCTTCAAATCGAAACGCATTACTGCTTCACGGCAGAAATAGGCAGGGCGGTGGTACCTACCCGCGCGGACTCACAAGAGGTCCTACCACCAGTAAAAATGAATTTAAATGGTTTCAAAAACAGGAAAATACAGTCGCCTAGAATTATAATATTTAGTTTATTAAATACAGCTTGATAATATAATGTCGAAAAAATATATATTCAATGGTAGAAATACAATTCTGTAAATTTTCCCGCGTCTAAGTAATATTTAATAAATTATGGCCGAAATTAATTAATTAGAATTACTATTATCTCTCTCTCTCTCTCTCTCGCTATAATCTCTCTTTCGGCTTATATTGAGATTAGGACAAAGCGGTTTATATAGGTAATTAGTCATCACTCATTAAAAGTATTAACGCTCGAACAATTGTGTTACACAATACTCATATTGTGATGTTAACTGTTGTAGGTATTCATATTATGTTGACAAGTAACTTGCGCTGTTTCTTTCTCGGGGTCTTAGTGGAACTCAACCTTAAATATTGAATGAATTTTATTTCGATGCAATTTTTATTATTATTTCAAAGCCTTACTTCCTTTGTAAGGTACTAGGTAATCATAAAGGTAATCATAAAGGTGTGTCTTCACCGCGCAAGTGCATGCGTTTAGCGTAATTATCCGCGTACACGACTGCGGAAAAATATTTCAAACCACGTAAATACTCTTTGTCGAATGTTCGCTGTGTAGACGAACCTTAGGGTGCATGTCCATCGGAGCGGAGCGAGGCAGCGGAGCGGAGAAACGGAGAAATATTAACCAATAAGATCAAACCAATCAAAATCATAAGATTGCAAAATCAAAATCATAAGATTGCAAAATGATTTTGTGCAATCTTATTGGTTNCAAACCAATCAAAATCATAAGATTGCAAAATCAAAATCATAAGATTGCAAAATGATTTTGTGCAATCTTATTGGTTAACATTTTTCAGTTTCTCCGTTCCGCTGCCTCGCTCCGCTCCGGTGGACAGACAGCCTTACGGCGGAAAAATCAACCCTCCACCCCCCTAATGGCCCACTGATTGCAGTTTTTATTCCTGTTGTTTGGTGACTAGCGAGATTTTACCCTCGGGTCGTTTCTTATCCTTTTCGCGGAGTAGTTTCTTTTCGTATCCGTAAACCGAGTAAAACGGCAGCGGAACCACCGTCGATGAGACCGGCAGGAGATCTGAAAAAAATAAGAGATTGATTCGATTTAATTCTCGAAACATCCCAGGCTTTTGGCGTTTACGGATATCTCGGCGCGAATACTGTTAACTGCTTCCAGAAATGAGGCTGAAGCAATCGTAATTAAAAACACCTTTTTTTTTTGGGCCCGTGGCCGAACCCCCCGATGTCCCCGCGCATAGGTGGCGCGTGGGGTATGTGGGACTTGACAATCTGAAGATGTTGAGAGCAGACCGCGGGTCCAAGGATCTTTTAGGGCCCTACCGTACCAAATGACTCCCATGCACTCTTACACCCGGCATCCTATCTCAGAGGTCAGAACCCGGACAGAGTAGGGGATAATTAATAAAACTTATCCCAACCCTTTAAACCGGAACAAATGAAAGCTTCGCAGAGCGGCTTCTTCGGTGCTTACCTGTGCGAGCTTACGATACGCTCTACCGTGGAGTAAGCACTTAAAGTAATTATCGCTGCAGCCTTAACAGTGTAAAACATTGCCAACCCCGGTCAACTACGAATACTCGAGAACACACTCCAGATAACAATCTTTCCTACGAGATTAAATTCGTACTGACTTTGTGATTCAACGGTTTTTGAGAAAAGGGTTTGTTTTTAAATGAAATGCTAACATTATAACGAATAAACGATGTTGATAGGTGGTAGGTGTGGATAGGCTTTTTTGTACAGGATCGTACAAAAAAAGCCTCACCTAAACGCATCGACCTGTCATCGGTGTTCTATGACATCACGTCCTAGTAAACAAGAGGTGAATTGTTTGAACGTGTGCACTACGTGACCTTATGCGCTCGGATAAAAATCTTAAGTCACATAACTAATTATATTAGTACTAAATAGCTTTTACTGGCGGCTGCGATAGCGTTAAGGTACCATATTTACATACCTCCAGAATTGTATTTTTTTTTGGGTAAATTATTATAATTATGTTTTTTTTTTTAATTTATAACTTCTTATACTTGAAAGTATAATGGCGGACTTAATGCCATGGGCATTCTCTAACAGTCTACCTTAGGGGAGTGCAGAGATGAAGCTTATATTATATATTATTTTATATTATACCACGCGTTGTTCTCATCATGATCGTTTAAGTTATCCATTTAATCTATACTACGTCGATACATTTACGATACGATAAATTTAATCCATACGAAGTCGTCGTGGCCTCAAGGATAAGACGTCCGGTGCATTCGTATATAGCGATGCAACAGTGTTCGAATCCCGCAGGCGGTTACCAATTTTTCTAATGAAATACGTACTTAACAATTATTCACGATTGACTTTCACGGTGAGGAAATAACATCGTGTAATAAAAAATCAAACCCGCAAATTTATAATTTGCGTAATTAATGGTGGTAGGACCTCTTGTGAGTCCGTACGGGTAGGTACCACCACCTCGCCTATTTCTGCCGTGAAGCAGTAATGAGTTTCGGTTTGAAGGGTGGGGCAGCCGTTGTAACTATACTGAGACCTTAGAATTTATATCTCAAGGTGTGTGGCGCATTTACGTTGTAGATGTCTATGAGTTCCAGTAACCACTTAACACCAGGTGGGCTGTGATCTCGTCCACACATCTAGGCAATAAATAAATAAAAAACCTAGAACGACTGCGTTTGCCACGCACCATTCGGCATTCGCATTTACAATATTATATTTTTATAGTTTAGAGTATGGGTTTTGATAATAGATAGGTAGTGACTTGCCTTTGTCCTTGGAATTGCTGATGTCCATGAGCCATTATAGCCATTCACCATCAAGTGGATTATCATCTACAAGAGCAATAAAAAAGTGTTTTCTTCTGTATTTCGGAACCTATATGATTTGACTGACTCGGTGGTCTAGTAGTTGACACTTCTGACTGTTACACTGAGGGTCGTGGGTTCGATTCCCACACCTGACAAACATTTTGTGTGTTGAACAGATTTGTTCGCTCTTTGTCTGAGTTTTTAGTATCTATGTATGTATATATTTAAACATATATAACTATGTATATCAATTTCTAGTACCCATAACATTGGGAATACTAATTTGCGGACAGATGACCGTGCGTGATTTGCTCCTAGATATTTATTTATTATTTGTTTAGGTATGTATCTAATATATATTGGCTAGTACCTGATAGGTGGCAGTAGAATTATCTATGATTAGCAGTCTCTAGTTATATTATTATTATTATTCTGGATGTCACTACAAAAATAATCTACTGTATACCAGGGTTGGCTGAGTGCTCTATAGCGTTAATTTTTCTTAGTTCTTGTTTTTTTTAAAGCGCAATAAGAATTCTTCTATTTTGGAAATAGGTAGTTTCGTTTAATTAATGAATTTATGTATTTAGAAGATCGGCTAAATAATTAGAATACCTTACTGGTAGATAGGAGGGCTTATCTGATTTTCGTTCAGAAGATGCGTGTGTGAACTTAGCCTTTCCGGGCTCCTTATCAGGGGCTTTTGGTTTCATCCGTCTAAAGAATACTCCAGATGGATAAAACGAATACAAGTATATCCATTTATTTTATTATAATAATTTAAAGAAAATCTTTAAGGCATCGAAATCTAATTTCTCTGCCCCTAGCTTCCACCAATTATAGGCAAAACTCATTCTGTTTACGTGTCGGTAGTGACCTGAACAGAGATGGCAGGTTGTTAGATATTGACCCATTTTCTTCGTCTATCACAGGGGTGAGACGTCAGCTTAGGTACCCGATTTTTCCTGGGTGATGACGGGACGAGGGCTGCGGGGGCCACGTGCCGTTGATGTGTAGCACAACTGATTTTTATTAGTTCGTGATCTTTATATATAAGCATACATTTAAATTATTGGTGTATTCCTCCTTTGCTTATGTTGTTTCTTGTTTGTTGATTGTTTTTAAATTCTTTGTTTCTATGTTTTTGTTTCTCTAGTCTTTTTATTTGCTTATATTGGTGAGGACCTTTAATTGGCTCATTGTTTCTATTATTTGTTAGATTATTATATTATGTTAGTTGGCTGTTGGTTCTCCTTGTAGTAAATAAAAAAAATATATAATATACATCTCACTTTCTTAATAAGTAAGGCTTTCTATCACTTTAGTCCTATTTGAAGTTCCAGTGGTCCGTCACCATATTTATTTCTGACACGAAAGCAGTCATGCGTTCGGGTTTGAAGGGTCAGTCGTTATCAATACATTTGAAACATCGACCTTATATCTCAAGATTTTTTACGGTATTCATGTTCAATGGGCTTCGACATTATTCACACCTAAAGAGCTGTAAAGCTGCAGTGCTTAACGCGAAAATACTATTTACATTTCGCACCTTTAGAATTGAAGTGGTTGAATACAAAATACTTATTTTTTGCTAAACTCCAAAAAAATGTACAGCATAGTTGTAGAATTGTAATTTTTTTATTTTAAGGTTTTAATAGTTTCAGGTGTGCGCTACTGGTGGTAGGACCTCTTGTGAGTCCGCACGGGTCCACGCTTTTTTACAATAAAATAAATTTTTTTTACACTATATTGAATTCAAAATTATTAAAATTGTTTTTTTTATTTTTCAGTTGGATTTTCTATAAAATATTTAATAATAATAATAATAAATATTTACTAACAATCACGCCACGTTAACTGGTCCCGTGATAAGTTCGTAAAGAACTTGTGTTACAGGTACCAGATAACGGAAATAAATGTGAGATTTTTATTATACACATACATATATTTTAATATACATCCATAGCCCTGGAAAATACATTTATATTAATCATATAAATATCTTCTCTTGGCGGGATTCGAACCCACGACCCCTTGTGTAGTGACCATGTCACTTACCGCTGCACCAGACGCATGTTAAAAGCGTATTTTGTTAGTTTTTTTAAACTATTATTTATTACTGTGATATTTCAATGCTTTTTTTTGAGTACAGTCGAGACTCGATTCTGTTATTTTAATAACAAAACTATGAATCGAGTGAAACATGCGATACAATCTTAAGGAGCCGGTTAAGTTTTCACGACCAAGTTTGGTAAACAAAGTCGACCTTGCGCTTTAGATATGCACCATGGTGCGGAGTTCATTAGCGAAACTCTTAATTGATATTAGCTTTTTATAGGTATTGATGTAGACGGACATATGAAAAGATGCCATTCCACTTGTAGTATTATACAAGAAAATTAAGCAGCTACCTAAAAAGCAAATTCATAATTACTTGATTTTCACCACGTACCTTGAGAAATGGAGTGAAGTCTTATTATTGGTGGTAGGACGTGAAGCAGTAATGCGTTTCGGTTTGAAGGGTGGGGCAGCCGTTGTAACTATACTTGAGACCTTAGAACTTATATCTCAAGGTGGGTGGCGCATTTACGTTGTAGGTGTCTATGGGCTCCGGTAACCACTTAACAGCAGGTGGGCTGTGAGCTCGTCCACCCATCTAAGCAATAAAAAAAAAAAATTGTAAAAGGCCATCATTTTTGAAACCGCAATCTATGACTGCTTTATAATAGTAATAAGAAGAAATTGTAGACCCCGTACTGGCTCCCAGTATGCTCTATTTTTTATTAAAACTATTGTTTTACAAAACTATTATTAGCAAGTTTAGACAAAGAGCACAAATTCAAAATTGGTTCTGAGCTTTGTAGCTTCCACGAAGAGATCGTATCTTCCAATCGAAATCTGTTATTGGTTTCCCACAGAAATATACAGAACTATAGCGCAAGTGGGGCCAATGGGTACAGAAATACAATAAATGTAAGCTTTATTTTTTTAAATATAATACTATTAGTGACCAACCGAGAAACAGCCGTACAGAGCCGATTTCGTTCGAAAGTGCACGTTTTCTTTGCAGCGCACATTCTCAAGGTTATTATGCAACCGAGCTATGGATGTTGTAACCAGTAGCGATTATTTTACGGCAGGTGTAATTAAAATTTATTGTTATAATTCGAAAGATTATTTAAAACACATCGGTTTTTATTAAACGAGGAGAGACATCACGTATCCTGTAGACGCGACAATTATCCTATTCGTACACTCTTGACAGAGTGGTCGTGGTCATGCATCAGTCGGATCCTGCGATACCAATGCTCTCGCGATGCGACGCCATGTGGCACGATGTTTCGCAGAGTGAGAGCAAACATTTATGTTGGAGTGAGTCACAGATTTTATGAGGTCGGTCCATCGTGTTGGAGATCGTCCGCGAGATCTTTTGCCCTCGACTTTCCCTTGCACCACCAACCGCTCAATGGAGTCCTCATTACGAGTGATGTGCCCGAAGAACTTGAGGATTCGTAATTGGACTGTTGACGATAGTCTCTCCTTGATGTTGAGCTCTTTCAGGATCGAAATGTTGGTACGGTGCGCGGTCCACGGAATTCTGAGGAGACATCTCCAACACCACATTTCCAGTGCGTCAATCTTACGACGCGACAATGTTAGTACCTATTTATTTATTTATTTATTTTTGCTTAGAGGGGTGGACGAGGTCACAGCCCACCTGGTGTTAATTGGTTACTGGAGCTCATAGACATCTACAACGTAAATGCGCCAACCACCTTGAGATATAAGTTCTAAGGTCTCAGTATAGTTACAACGGCTGCCCCGCCCATCAAACCGAAACGCATTACTGCTTCACGACAGAAATAGGCAGGGTGGTGGTACCTATCCGCGCGGACTCACAAGAGGTCCTACCACCAGTAATATAATAATTTCTATGCCGTCAAAGTCTTAATGGCATTGGCATAGCGCCTGTCAAGTTAGCAAATAAAGTACTCAGCACATATAAAGATAACGAATCCATATATGATATCGTAATGTTTGACAGTATTCCCGAAATGCCTGTAATAGTAATCAATTACAGATGCACATTATACAGTGGCCAAGTGAAATGAAATGGAACTAATTTAATGAATTTAAATAAGATAGATTATAACCCTAAAGTTGAAGATGTATTATCGATTTCACATTTTAATGACAAAAGCTCCAGTTAATGATTGACACCAGTTTTTTTTAAGAATGTATTATTTTACAGATGTCTTTTTGTTTGTTTGTATGTATATATGCTTATTACTTTATAATACATGCTGCAGAATGCACGTAATCCTTAAACCGATCATGTTTTAGATTTGAATATGTATATTGTAAGTTATCAGAAGCAAAGGAAATCCTAGCATATACGAAATACTTCATATTTTAGAATCCGACTGTCTATATAAAGTGATAGTAGCTAATGGACGCCCCTCGCATATCGTGAGAGCGTTGACCCCACCCGTCAGCTGATTGGTGTTACATTGCTTGCAGAAAAGAAAGAAGTGTCAATAAAACATGTCTGCTCATTTGTTATATATGTATTATGAATGAAAGCACTACACCGTGCTCTCGTCTTTGTAAACAATTTCTATAGCCTTTTTTTCTTTTATTGGTGCTTCTACGACCCACTTGGTGTTTTGTGGGTACTAGAGCCCGTAGACATCAGTGTGGATGATACCATCGAAATTGAGGTTTGAGGTCAATGCCTCATTTGTAGTTAACAGTGTGCCTATTTCTATAAGAACGCAGAAATAAGACAGACCGGCACCTTCTGAATCTCTGTTACGTAGCAAAATACCGTATTAGAAGTGAAGTTGCCTGTAATATTTACTGGCCAGTTCTATTCATTAATTGTTTCTACAAATAAAAAACTTGGAATTTGAGAGGTATAGAAGCTTGAATAAATGGAGCGGAAAGGCATACGATGAATTCACTTTATTATAATATTTAATACTAGCACAGACCGGAAAATCAAGCTTTAAGTAAACACATATTAATAACCAAATTATCATTTAACCTTCAAGGATTTAGATAAACAGCTTTTATAAATGTTATACGTTACTTTGTTATTTTAAGAAAATTATAATATTTGCGTTTGTTATGTGATTACGCAAATCATATAATAATTTTGCGGGTTTGATTTTTATTACACGATGTTATTCCTTCACCGTGGATGTCAATCGTGAACATTCGTTAAGTACGTATATCATTAGAAAAAAATTGGTACGCTTGCGGGATTCGAACACCGGTATAGTTGCATCGTTGATAGGAATGCACCGGGCATCTTATCCTTTAGGCCACAACGACTTTAAGGCTACCCATATATTATTATATGTAAATTGATTATATAAATGTAATAATAGGTACAAAAGGAAATTCTATAATAAAATTTATCGAATAATAAATCTGAAGCTTAAGAAATTTTATTGACAAAACAACGAAAATTTCTGTAGTTAAAAAAACTAAGGCAACCAGTTACTAGGTCTTCCTAATTTGCAACCCTAACAAACTTTTTACGAAATCAACTTACTGTCTAATGCTGTACGATTTAAATCGATTTGTATATTTTTAAAACCATCCAAACTAAAATCATTCGTTTAAATTTTTGGTTCCATGCGTTCACCAAATGAAAAAATTCAAATCGCAACCATAGCTCTATATGACTAACAAACATAAGTTTCTGATTGTTTAAAACCTAATTGTACAAACAAACTATGAAATATTTTATACACCAGGAAGTTTGGTTGTAAAACTAAAACGCATATTATATCTCTAATGAAAGTTTCTCGAAGGTAAACTTCTTTACAGTGGAATCGACTGCGCTGTACCGTTAAGATTAGACAAAATGACACTAAAAACTTATTATTAATTGCAGTAATATATAAAGCAGTAGGCGATCTTTCGAGAAGCATATTTTCTTTGATAATGCTTTCCTATCATTTCTTATCGTGTGATTTGCAATAAATCAAATTCAGGAAGAAAAGGCCCCATTAAAATCGATCCACAGCCTTCGTGAACAAAAAATATGAATTATCGACATGCAAAACTGTTTTTTTGTTTCTTCTCAAATTGAAATTCATTAAAATTAATGTTTCTTATATACACATATATTAAGTGATTTAAATAGTGATTCTTTCTTACCAGGTTTCAAAACGTTATCCGCATCTCTTCTGTATAACATTCCGGAGGTCCACGCACAGACACAGCCGAATAATACGAAAACCAAACAGATTTTCATTGCCAATACAATTCAGGAGTACTAGGAGTACAGAAAAGATAGGAGATGTGTATCGACCTGTATTTATTTGACAGTGCTCCGTGTCGCGCGTTCTCTTGACTCGGATAAAGTATCGAATGTATCGGCGACATTCTCGATACGACCGCGGCGAGGGGCGGAGTAAGGACGTCGAATGGGGGTCACGGTCGAGGCTTTAAAGCCGATGAGATGGCAATAAATATTCTTGAATTATTAACATAATAATAACATAATCGAGTTGATGACGATGTGCTAGTTACTGATTAGATACTATCAATTTTTAATAGATTAATAATTAAATATGGATTAGTATAGTAGAGCATAATAGAGGTGTTAATAAATCTTGCAAATAGTAGAGAAGGGTGCGTGTGTATGTAGAGACGATATACTTTCCACTAATGAAGTGTCTTTGAAAGGACTAAAAATGTCCGTATCAATATAAAATATCCGTTAAGGATTTTAGTATATAAATCGTATTAATTAGTGGCAGGGCTTATGGTTAGCCCAAATTGGTAGATAACACAAATCTGCTGATTAAAACATTTCATAATTAAATAGTGTCACCACATTCCGGCTTGAGAGGTAATAGTTGTTATAAGACGATTGTAGCAAGTCCGGATATCAATTTTTATTTTCCTACCTATGCTGATAGCCTTGAGAGGCCATTTGAGCGTAACCCTAACAACTAGGTAAGCTCGCGGGGCTCAAACCTGATGATATTGCTAACACTAACCCTAGCAAGAGTAGTGCTTTGCATAATCTACCACCAGATTGGAATCGCGACCCACTAAGCTTGAACCAATTCGAATAAAGAATTTTTCTGATTTAGATTTTTCATTTTGAAGGAGTTTAGAATAAAGAAAAGATCACTGAAATCTGACCAAAAATAAAAAAATGGTGGTCAAAAATGCTTTCACCTGAATCAGGCCCTGAATATTGGCATTGAAGTCGTGAAAATCTAATATGAATACACTTCCAGTGAATACGTTCGACATTCGGAGACGTATACCTCTGCCAGGGATCACCGAGTTCACTGTAAATAATGCTAGACATGTGCCTAATAAAATCGGCATACTGGGGGTGGGACTGCGCTGTATTTTACTTCGAATATCCCATTACGATGATGTTAACTGCCGCGGTGCTTAAACGATTTTTACGAGTTCTTTTCTTGTCTCAAAAGCTAATGGCGTTGGAGAAGAAAATTTCGTTTCGTATTAAATCTTTTATTGGATTCTAAAGAAACGTTTTGTGTATTCAATATTATTATATATTTACTACAACTAGAGCATGAATAGGAAAAAACATTTTTGTTTGTTTGTGAACATTATTATCTGTAGTAGATTTTAGATTTTGTTTGTTCAACCTCCAAGCCATGAATAGATATGGCATAGCTTTTAAAAAGTTGGCACAATATATAAAAATAAACATTTTATCTATATAGGTATAATATAATATAAAAATGAATTGCGGTTCGTTAGTCTCGCTAAAACTCGAGAACGGCCCGACCGATTTGGCTAATTTTGGCCTTGAATTATTTGTGGAAGTCCAGAGAAGGTTTAAAAGGTAGATAAATATGAAAATGCTCGAAATTTAATTAAAATAACAATTTTGTTTTTCCTTTGATGTGTCCCCCGTCGGACGGATTCCTTTTGTTTTATGTTTATTTTATACAAAAGTTTAGGTCTTTTATTTATCGATTGAGGCACTACGAAGTCTGCCGGGTCAGCTAGTTTTATTTATAAATCTGCGTCTGTAATTACTATTATTAGGGTGTTATTGTAATGGGTTCTATCAATGTGCCTATATTTACCGCAACTCGGACATACGTTTCGATTTGATGGGTGAGATAGCCGTTATGCAACACTATTCGGTCTTTGACCTCATGTCTCAAGGTAGGTAGAGGCATTTACATTGTGCTATGTGCTTTGGCAAGTTTTTAATGCAAGATAGACTCAACCCGTGCAAGTTTCTAGTATCGTATTCGTAATTCGTATCTAGCGATGCAACGGTGTTCGAATCCCGCAGGCGGGTACCAATTTTTGTAATGAAATACGTACTCAACAAATGTTCACGACTGACTTCCACGGTGAAGGAATAACATCGTGTAATAAAAATGAAACTCGCAAAAATTATAATTTGCGTCATTACTGGTGGTAAGACTTCTTGTGAGTCCGTAGGGAAAATACCACCACCCCGCCTATTTCTGCCGTGAAGCAGTAATGAGTTTCGGTTTGAAGGGTGGGGCAGCCGTTGTCACTATACTGAGACCTTAGAACTTATATCTCAAGGTGGTTGGCGCATTTACGTTGTAGATGTCTATGGGCTCCAGTAACCACTTAACATCAGGTGGGCTGTGAGCTCGTTCACCCACCTAAGCAATAAAAAAAAAGTTATACAAAATTACATACGAATAGAAAAAAAAAATACAAATTACGTTGTTTATCGTTTGATAAGGTCATCGTCGGTCGACTCTGCTATGGTACAATAACAATACGGCCGTTGACTCGAAAAGCGATGTCATATCACACTTAATCTGGGTATACGCAAAAAGCAAAATCAAGTTTCCATTTTAATAGTGTATGAGATCACCTTTCCGTTTACAGTAGATCCATGACACAGCGCGGGGGCGATGAAGATGACACCGGCTCGAACGTTTTCCAACAAGACCAATACGGTACGCTTTGCACAATTAAGGCTAGTTTATACAATACTTTCTGTAATAAGCGCAGGTCAGAATTTTACGGTGTAATTCGAGTTTACTTCGTTTGCTTGTATGCGCTTAGATCCTAGAAATCTTAGAATTAAACCCTAAATGTAGTTTTAATTATGTGCAAGTCACGGCTGCCTTCATAATTTGCGTTGAAATTGATATTTGATTTACACATATCTTCTTCTTCTTCTTCTTCTTCTATATACATACCTATATAAAAATGAATTGCTGTTCGTTAGTCTCGCTGAAACTTGAGAACGGCTGGACCGATTTGGCTAATTTTGGTCTTGAATTATTTGTGGAAGTCCAGACGAGGTTTAAAAGGTAGACAAATATGAAAATGCTCGGATTTAATAAAAATAACAATTTTGTTTTCCGTTTGATGTGTCCCCGTCGGACGGATTCCTTTTGTTTGTTTTAAGTTTATTTTATACAAAAGGTTAGGTCTTTTATTTATCGACTGAGGCACTACGAAGTCTGCCGGGTCAGCTAGTAATATCTAAAAATATAGACTATTGTTTCTGTTTGAATAAAGCTAATAATGACGCCGTTCCCGGATAAAAAAGGTCAAACTGAGGAAAAAAGGACTGAAAATATTGGTGATTAAAAATAACTTTATTAGAAAATTAGTTTTATGTAATTATTTAGCCTATTAATTACATAGCCTAAACAAAGATACAAAAGTCACAGTCAATCCATATTATAATATAGTGTAAAAGTAACAAACCACTTATGAAATACTCCAGTAGAAATCAAACATACAAATTTCCTTTTATTTGTATCTAATAGAGTATTGGGTTTTAACTTACTTTAAGATCATCAGTGAACTAGCCAACAATAGCTTCGTTCATCATCTTCAAAGGTTAATGCAATCAAAAAGTCGTAATCAAGCAAACAAGCAACCGATTCTCAAGTGTTTTTCTTTCGATCTCCAAAGCTTGTGTCCGTTTTCTCTATTTAGTCAAGACTAATCTATTATGATGTTCTCACATGGCTCAGATCTTTGGACATACAAATGGCGTGTCGACACAGTGTCACTTGTGTCTGTTTGTTAAGGTTCTTCCTGGTCTGGTCTTGTTTCTTGATAATCTGAGGTCAGGTTGTCAATGACTAATCGCCTTACCAAATAAAGTCATTTTAAAAGCTTGTTTTGCTTTTAACTAGACGTTACTTTATTATCTTCTAGTAGGAGTAGCACACAATGACGTATGTTGAGCTAACATAGTTTTGAGTGTTAATTAGATTATCAATGTGGTGCTAGTGACTGTATATTGTACTGCAAGGTCCCAAATTCGTAATTAGGATGGATGATATTAGTTTGCTGTTTTTTTTTTTATTGCTTAGATGGTTGGACGAGCTCACAGCCCACCTGGTGTTAAGTGGTTACTGGAGCCCACCAGTAATTACGCAAATTTTAATTTTGCGGGTTTCATTTTTATTACACGATGTTATTCCTTCACCGTGGAAGTCAATCGTGAACATTTGTTGAGTACGTATTTCATTAGAAAAATTGGTACCCGCCTGAGATTCGAACATCGGTGCATCGCTCAACACGAATGCACCGGACGTCTTATCCGTTAGGCCACGACGACTTCATTTTATATAGCATTATAGTTGTAAGAGTCTATCCTATTACACTTTAAATGTTTTTCTCCAAGGTAAGCATTATTATTTGGTATCGTTTATTTTAAGATTATAAAATTTAGAATACAAAATCTGCTCGGGAACCAGAAAATACGGGTGGGTATGCGACCCTTCGTTCCTCGCTAATGCTGCTACTACGTTATATGAATCGTATCTGAAGAACATTCAAGAACAAAGTAGAAATGAAGTAACCAAAACACAAGGACTTAATACTTTAGGTTTTGTCAAGTAATGGCGAGGAGGGAGCACAATTTGCCCACTTTGAAGTCGGGCTCGCTTTGTTTTGCAATACTCTCAATTTCAAATTAGTAGGGTCAGAGAGACCCACGTCAGCGGGTGTGACATACCTACACGTTAGTCAGAACATTCGAGGGTCGGATAGGTTATTGCTTATTAATGACTGCTTTACACGTAGATGCGTAGGTTGATTTTGGCTTTAGAGAACGCTTTGATGACTATTCGGGTTTCAAATACGTCTTGTAGGTCTTCAAGCAATTCTCAATCTTAGTGTTTAGCTTACTAAGAACTATTTATAAAAATTTGATTCTATTGAAGATCTAAGACAAATGTTTTTTTTTTAATTATAATTAGAATGATGGTTCATTTAATTTAAAACAAAAATGTGTTTCAATAGTTTGTAAATCGAAGGAAAAATTAAAATATTATTTATTTCTCTGCTTGTGATTCTGATCAGGATATTAATCTAAAGTAGTAGTTTTGAAGTCGTC